CTGTGGAACTATATTCTGAGTGGCCAGTGTCCTTAATTTTTGATAGAGGTACAAAACTCAGTTAAGTTTTCAATTACATTTACTGTAAAATTTCTATTCAAATCTGCTGTTATCAAGGAATTGTGATACACACATGAAAATTAAGTCACATTGGAATACCACACCCTCTTGTATTACAGAAATGTTCTCAACATCTGTATTAACAAACACCTGAGTGACAAACTAAAAAGTGCCATGAAAATAGGGTCAGTTTATAATACCTGTTCCTCGGAAATGTAAGACAAAGAGAACTTGGGTAAAGACCAGGCTTATTTACAACGAGAATAAGGGCAATGTTCCACTATATTGGCATTGCCTTGAATTGTAAATAACATTGAGGGAACCAAAAATGACTCAACATTCATGAACCAAACTTGTAGAACAATCATAAACATAAACAAACAATTCACTAATACACTCATAGTTAGTATAAATATGTTGATTAATGAGGGCCAACAAAGCATCAATGAGATTCTTTTACCCTCATAGTCAGCCCAAATATGTTGTTCAATCACAGCCAACAAAGCTCTGGTGAAATCCTCGTACACCCATTTTGACCCATATACATTTGTTGCTGATTATGACTACATACAAGAATAAAGTATGTAACAAATATTTCTAAATCCATTGTTCGATCCAATTATGTTAATCACTGAGTGCCACAAAGCAACAAAGGGTTTCCATGGTCGAATAGGCAATTAAAGAAGCTTCCAAAACAGCCAATAAGTCACATGCAAGATGGGAATGTGGTGAATATGGGGTCATTTTAGTATCATTCTCAGGTGATGGTATAGAACAAATGTGTCACAAATTCATGTTATCGACTTCAAATACCAAAATAACTGATAGAATGCAGCCTAACTATACTTACTGACATAAATCCTCAAGACAGGAAATTAAAATATTTATAGAATAAAAAATTTACAATTAACCGCTCGAGACAGGTTACAGGTGAAAGGTCGTGTCATCTTATTTGTTGATTCACATTCAAAATGTTATTGAATCACTATTTCATGAATTTTTGTCAATAAGTTCGGTATCAAACTGTAGATTATAATTCAACTTTTAGAACTATACATTACTAAATTTCCTAATTTAAAGATAAACACAGATAAACATCAATATTTGTGTATTATGTGGTATGTTGAATGCAGAACTGGTTCAAATTAGATGTTTATGATGTCAAAATACTAAGTCTACACTTTCATAGGAATTAGAAACTCAAATTACCGATATTGACAAGCTAGAATATAAAACAAGGTCTTATCTCTTCTATTTGCTAAGAT